AGTTCCCATAGGACTGCAATTTTCGACTATATAGAGTTATAGAAGGAGTGGGATTTGTTTCCATGTAATCCTCTCTATGTGGGACTCTAATTCCTTGTGCTATATATAATAGAGATTAGGTTGATGAGAGATAATAACTCCGAGACGCCTATTTCACGTTGGAGAGAAATATTTTTTCTCTTCTTCTTTTCTCTCTAAATTCTCGATTATAGGTTTAGATTTCTTCAAGTACAAGTCCACCCTTGTAGAAGAATTATTAATTCGGGATAAACAATAGAAGATTACAGGTTTTTAGAGCAAACCATAAATCCCGAATTTTCTGAGCAGTCCTGCGAAGAAATTCACCATAAATCAACCGTTAGTCGGATAGGCTCGAAATTTATACAGTAGCTTCCTAACCCTTAGATCTATAATTTTTTAGAAGGGTTTATTGATCGGATCAACGGTCGCGGAGATATAGGTGAAGGAAGATGACTGGAAATTTCTGGACAACAGCTTTTACGAAGGTTGAAGGCTTGACGTGGATCCTCGTTCGTGCGCCGAAGATAGAAACGAATCTGCTCGCGAAAACTGTAAGTTGCTAGATTAGATTTATTCCGCTTTAAACGAATCTAATCAAAGCATGTTAATAAAATTAAAACCGGCTAATCTAGAACCTCTTGCGAATTTTCATTGAATCCTGGGCTTCACATCCCAACAAGAGGGTGCAAAGTGCCAAGGAGTTTGTAATTGTAGGGTGCAAAGTGCTATTTTTTTCAATTTAAGGGTGCAAAGTGTCAAACTCATGTAATTCAAGAGTGCAAAGTGTCAATTACCCGTAATCCCTAAAAAAATACTTATTGCACTCGCCATAATATTATCGAATTAGTATTTCCGAGCTCTGTTTTATTATATATTTATTTTCCCGACATTAAGATGTTATATCTCTAGAATTAAATAGAATGAAGAAATATTATTTGGATCACCACAGGCAACGTATTTGAAAGATAATCTAGCTGTTTTGTGGGCTCCACAAATCCTTTTTCGACGAACATGTTAAGCAGTGAAAAACTCAAAAGATGTGAAAGTAGACACGAACTGGTTCCGGGCCCAAACTGCCAGATCTAGGTCGAAGAAATATGGAACCAGAACCGAACCGGTCAATAGGCGGCTGGGTTTTGGCACTCCGATTTTCGCCGGTTTTAGGTAAAACCGGATTTTTTTTTTTTTTTGTTCTTATTTTTGGCAAAACATTGTAATAAACCAAAATAATGTAAATGAAAGTTCGTGAGCTGAATCAATTCAATTCTTACGATTTGATTCTTACAAATTTTACGAATTAAATTGTATTATTTTTTATTAGAAAATTGAATTAAAATGGTATTAGACTTTAATTATAATAGTTAATTCGATTAATACGTTATTGTCAGTAGTTGACTTAATCAATTCAAATATTTGAATAATGTTTACGAACTGAAAGGACTTGAGTTTCATCGATTCAAATCATACGATTTTTTTATTTCCATGATTTACGATTTGATTTTACGATTTTTACGAATTAATTTTTTTTAATGATAAAATTGATTTAAAAAAATATTACACTTTAATAATTATTTCGCTTAATACTGATGCAAAATTGGTCTCTATTAGGGGTGGAAATCGGACGGATCGGATCGGATTTGGGTGTTTCGGAAAATTTCCGATTTTTTTCGGAAGGCTAAAATGCCTTCCGATTCCGATTCCGATTTTTTCGGAATTCAAGAATCGATTCCGATTCCGATTTTTTCGGAAATTTCGGAAAATCGGATTTTTTCGGAATCCTTCATTTTCGGATTTTTCGGAATTTCCGGATTTAAAAAAGAAAAAAAATGAAAACAGAATAAAGGGCAGCGGGGCTGGTGCTCGTCGAGAGAACGAGAGCGGCGTGGCTGGAGCTCGATGGAGAGAACGAGGGCGGCGGGGCTGGTGCTCAGCGGAGAGAACGAGGGCGGCGGGGCTGGTGCTCGGCGGAGAGAACGAGGGCGGTGGGGCTGGTTTTCGGTGGAGAGAAAGAGGGCGGCGCTGCCGGTGCAAAAGGTGGAGAGAATGACGAGGGCAGCGCAGCGCTGGTGCTCGACGGAGAGGAAGAGGGCGGCGCTGGTGCTGACGGAGAGAAGAGGAGGCGCGGGTGGTGGTTGACGGAGAATTGAGGGTGGTGTTGGTGGGAGAAAAGCAAAAGGCAGAGAGAAGATAGTGGGGAGCGGCGTGAGGACTGGGGTGAGAATGAGAGAGTAACTTCAATTAGGGTTAGAATTTACATTTTAATTGTTTAGAAAATAAAGTAATAAATAATAATATATTTGTCCACTTTACTTGTTACTGTGTGTGAATATATATATTATAATAATAATCGGAAATATTTGGAAATATTCGGAAATAATCGGAAATAATTGGAAATAATTTCGGATCGGAATTCGGAAATTCCGAAATTCTGTTATGTATTTCCGATTCCGATCCGATTTTTTTCGGAAATTTCGGAATTCGGAATTTCAGAATTCGAAATTGAAAAAATCCTTCCAAAATCGGAATTTTTCGGATCAGATTCGGCGGAAATCGGAAATTTTGTTCCGATTTCCACCCCTAGTCTCTATAGATCAGTCAACTTGGAAAAATCACATGCATGTCGTGATTCCAAAAGAATTAAATTTTGCTTTATACATAGTTAGAAATCTCTGGAACTCTAGTTTAATTTCCAACACGAGAAACTGTGTATAAAGCAAAGGTTTGAGGAAGTGGTTTTGCTCGATTTTCTAGAGTCCGCTAACTGCACTCAGGAAAATTAACGGCTTTGTGTCTTTTGGTATTTTTAAGTGTTTAATTATTTTAGTCAAGGTTCTAAAAGGCGATTATCGGGTTTGTGGCGGTTAGGGACCGCGACACGATAAATCAGCGCGGCGGTGATTTATCGAAGATAAATCGGAAATAAATCGGTTTTTAAACTTAATGTTATATTTTTCTAAATATTATTTGTAAATACTTAAAATATATATAAAAGAATATTTAAACATAATTATATCCTATCATTCATATGTTATATATAATTCTAATTACTCAATAAATAACAAAAATTTAAAAATAATAAGATAGTAATATAATAATACAAATACTACGCAAATCTTTTGCATCAACAATTTATATAAACATAACAAAGCATAAACTCATGTTTTGGGTTATCGTTAAGTTCTTCTTACTTGCCAGTTACAAGTTGCGGGGTAGTACTTGGTTTGATTTTGGAAGTTGAAAGAATTGAAAAAAACAAAAAAAAAAACCTATTTTCATTTTGATTTAAATTAAAAAAAATAAAAAAAATAAAAAAAAATGATTTATTGACTGATATATCGGTTTCACCCGCCAAAAACCGCCGCAAACCGCCACGCCGTAAAAAAACCGATATTCCAAACCGCTTCAACAAAATCGTAAAGGATTATAATCGATACCGATATGGCGGTCGATATATCGGATGCCACAACCGCTATTTAGAACACTGATTTTAGTAGTCTAATTTCGAATTATCATTATTTTTATAAGATAATAAGGCCATCTTTTATGTATGTCATGAATCAAAAATCAAGTTTGTTTGTTTTCTAGAATAAGAAGTTGAGAAGTCATTCAAAGTTGTAATTTCATATGTTTTGAAGGGATATTCCAAAAATCTTATATAAACCCCCTTCGATGAATAAAATGGGAGATGAATGTTTAAGTTCAAAAATATTTTGCAAGTTAATTTCATTGAGAATGACTTGGCTGCGTTGATTGATTCCGCGCGATTACTAGCGTTGAGTGATTTCACTGCCGCCGGTTGAGTGATTCCCTGTCATCTATCTTATTCTATTTTTTTTTTTGTTGCGGGTTTCAGCCTGCATCAAATATGTTACTATCAATAGTTAAGCGTAATCAATTTAAATCTTTGAATAATGTTTACAAATTGAAAGGATTTTTACAAATTAAATTTTATTATTTTTATGCTAAAATTCAATTAAAAATGTATTGAGATTCAATTATAAATCGTTAACTCGAGTAATATGTTCTTGTGAATATTTTAAATTTTACGATTCAAATTCGATTATAAATAGCTTAATCGATTCAATCTTAGGATGACAATTGATAATTTATTCCACATTATTTATATTAGTATTATAATCATTTTACCTTGTTGTTTTAATATAAACATATTGTTAGATAATTAACAATAAATTGATGTGACCCCGTGGCCAGTGGTATTCTTGTATTCCATTTCTTAGGTTCACCCTAATCCAATGCATTTTTGGGGGCATTTCCACAAACTAAATAAACCGGTTGCCGGTTCGTCGGGTGAAACCGACGAGTTTACCCGTTGGTTATGTCCTCCGTATATCATAAACAAGAACCGGTCCGTAATGTCCAGGTGCGGGCCGAGTACGTGCCCCTAGTTTCCATGTCCGTTCCGGTACGATTCCCGGCCCGAACAAGTTTTTGGTTCATGGCCGGTTCGTTGGATCTAGTTCGCCGGGTCAAATCAATGGCTCCGTACATCATATACTGGAACCGGCCATGGTACGGGCTTCTGGTCTCCGTGTAGGTTCAGGATGTCTTGATCACATAGTGTTCCAACCGATGCACCCTACCAACGTGGTTTCCTGCAATCATACTGACACCAACAATGCCATCATTGGAGTTAACAGACGACGTTTGAACTTGGTTGCAACCACCGTGTATCGTATTGGTATCTAATTCTTCTTACTCGAAGATTAAATTGTTACAGAAAGTCCGTATTTGATTTCTTAATAATATTTCCTAAGACAATGAAAAATACTCTTATAAATTTTCAAGAAAATCACATTCACTAATTTGAAAAATGCTAATCATCAACTCCTACTAATAGAAAATCAGTGCCAATTATTCCAATGACATAAAAAAAAAAAAAATCAGCCAAAAAAAAAAAAAAAAAGAAATGCATAAATACTTATCCAAGAAAAAGCTCTGGTAAATATCAAACTGCACTGCTAAGCTTTAATCGTCTTGGTCTTGACACCAGCCGGGAAATAGAGACTATTCCGATATGGAATGTATCTACCGCAATGTACAGCAAAGACTTCAAACTCTTTGACCGTCTTGTCGTCGGTAGGGCTATAGCATACAAATCTTATACTCTGTTCTTTTATGACAACATTATTTTCCGCCACATCAATGCCCTTTTCCTTTATCCAGATATTAAAACTTTTCTCTTCTTTGTTGTACTTGTAGCAGTACAAACATAGGCTTCCTCTCAAACAAGTCATGTTAATTAAAATAAATTCGTTACAATTACTTAGTTGTTCGGGCTTTTGCAACCTCTTGATCTCGTCGGTTCTTGGATCGAAATACAATAATTGTCTACCTGAAATATTTGTGCTCTGGACGCCCAAAATCCAATAGATAGCTCCATCAACGAAGATACCTGAATCTGTGAAACCAATGTCGTGGCATTTTGCTCCTAATTTCTTTTCCGTCCAAGAATCGTTATTACACGAATAAATTGCATACTTCGTTACAAAAATAAAGACAACCTTGAAATCGCCGGCTATTTTGTCATAACAAATCCCATGATCAACTACGTAATATTCACTAAAATCATATGGTGTTTCGATATACCTCTGCCAACGAGTTGATGGATTCCACAGTGCGTATTTGTCGAATTTGTTCCAACCGGAGAGTCTTCTGGCCAAGAGTAGCACGCCATTACATTCGCGTAAGATTAAGTTGTAGCCATTGGGAATATTCTCCTCGAATATTCCTCCGGCGTGGAATTTTCCACGTTCGAATTTGACCAGAGGAAACCCTCTATCAGTACTATTTGGATACTTACTTAGGAAGAGGTTATTATTAGGAGAGCTATTCGAGGAATGGAGATGATTTTGGATGAATAAAGGATCGGAGATTATAATATTCCATGACTTTGATACTGTTTTGAATCGAAGAAGAGATTTAACTGATGATAATTTTGATAGGATAATTTCGATGATCTCCGATGGAATATTTGATGATGATGTTTTCGCTAATTTTCTTGCCATGTCTTTTTTTTCCCGACAATTTGGTACTCTAGGAGGCGGAGCTTTTTTGAGCGGAAGAAATAGATAGAGCTAGGGTTTGATTAGGCAACAAAGTCTTCTCAAATGCGATCATGTTGTCTGTCCCCATAAAAAAATAATATAAATTAATTTGATGGATATTTAAATTTAATTTATATATTCAAGTTTAAAATAAAGAAAATAATTATATTTTCATCAATGTTTTGAAAACCGGTCCAGACATCCACCCGGCCAAGTTAATTTTTTTCTTTTATATGATTATTTTATTAATTAAATACCATAAATATATATTATTTATATATTTTTTATATTTCCTTCTCCACTTACTCACTTTTTTTAATGAAAAAAATAATTTAAAATTACATTTTTCTCTCACTTTTCTCTCTCCTCATCTCTCTCTTCTTTGTTCTTTCTTCCATCTGCTTTTTCCTCTTCACGCAGGTCTCCCACCCATGTCCAAACTGATGCCTTCCTGTTCTTCCCTTTCTTCTTCTCCTTCTATTTGTTCCTTTTCTCTCATTTTCCACACATACTGAGATTTTTATCCAATTTTTTTTTTCATACTTTTCTTTATTTTCATTTTCACCTCCTCCTTTCTTTTCTCCAGTCACATATGCCCCAAATCCGATTAGATCCGTTCACCCACAACCGTTTCCGGTAAGGTCCAGTCACCCACGACCATCATCAGCGCAGATCCGGCCATGAAATTTATCATCAACGCAGATCCGGCCATGAAATTTTTTTATAGCTAAAACCCGGTTCTTGGACCGGTTTCCGGGTTTTCCGGTTCATACCGGTACCCGAATTTCGGTAATTGACCCGGTTTTTTGGCGATTTTGGAGTTTCACCGCTAACCGGACCGGACATGGCGACGGTTCGCGGTTAAACCGGTCGGACCGGCCGGTCCGGTCGGTTTTCAAAACATTGATTTTTATTGTGGTTTCTTCATATACTTTACTTTTAAGAAAGAAAAATATTTTTTTTTGGATTTTTGTGCATAAGTCCCCAACCAAGCATCTTTATTATTCTAGGTTTATGTACTATATCGATTTCACCAGTAAGTTCATCCCTTCAATATTTATTATAAATAAATGAAACATTATGTATATGACAATACTACCCCCAACCCTTTATATCCAATTCTTAATTGTAACCCCCAAGTGAATCAATTTTGTCCACAAAATTTTAATTTTGATCACAAAAATCCAATTTTGACTACAAAAATTCAATTGACTTTTTTTAAAACAAATTTCTTTTTACCGCTGGATTCCGGCGTGACTTTTTGATTTTTTTTTCTTCCGGATTTTTTCGCCGGTCTCCAGCGTTGACTTTTTTTTTTTATGTCTGCTGCTAAACATTGACCGTAATTGTGCTTTCACTGACAGTAAATTAACGTAATTATACTATCAATGACAGTTAATTAATGTAATTGTACTGCCGTTGACAATACATTTATGTAATTGTTCTGCCGTTGACAGTAAATTAACGTAATGTTATTGTTTTTTTAATTTTTATTTTTTTTTTATTTTGTTTGATTTGTTGACAAGTCAATGTAATTAAATAACTGTCGTTGACAGTAAAATAATTGTAAACACAATAATATTAGTGTTAACAACATCAATATTATTATTTTTTTGGGTTTTTTGTTTTGTTTGAGTTATTCACGGAGTAACGTAATAATATTACTGTCTATTATTGTAATATTAGTGTAAACACAATAATATTATTGTGGTTGACGGTAATATTACTGTTGTCATAGTAATATTGCTTTCAACCACATCAATATTATTATTTTTTTTGGATTTTTTTGTTTGTTTGAGTTATTCACGGAGTAACGTAATAATAGTACTGTCTATTATTGTAATATTACTATGGTTGACGGTAATATTATTGTTGTTATAGTAATATTACTATGACTCGCAGTAATATTAGTTATTTTGGTTTTTTATTATGTTTACATTTGTTGAACGGTCAACATAGTAATATTACTAACTTACAACTGACAAAACAAAACAAGCAAACCAATCAATTTTTATATTGTAACTGACAAAACGAACATGCACCCAAGAAAAACAAATATCCCCTCAGTTGTGTATGCTACATGGAACCCATTTACGAAATGTACCTTAGAGAAATTCATCTTAACATGAATTCGGTTTCGCGACGATCGTACTGAAATGATATATGAAAATTTAGCAATTAAATAAGAATAACATATCTAAGGGAAAATAGACATACTAAAACAAAATGAACAAAAGAAACAAATTCAAATTTCAATTTCAGAGATTTACTGGACCACGATGTACTTCAAAGGAGAGCCAAGTCCAAGACAACCTGTCGTTGGTTGCTTATAAATTCTGAAAATGCACAAAAGAACATCATGAATAAATGACATATTACATTGACAAATTAGATGCTAAAACGACATCAAAGAATAATTATCTCTGGACTTCCTCGAAAATAGACGAGGATACTAATTTTGCAATTAACAGAACCCTAAATTGGATTAGGAGCTCTAAATAAACATCAATCTCCTTAATTTAATTTTGAGACCAAAATCAAATTTAGGGTTTCTTTAATAATATTCCTAACTTACAACTGGAGACTGATAATGGGGAACACAAAAGAACGGTTGATAAAAGGAGAAACAAGAGATCGAAAGAGAGATGGGGGAGGGAGATAGACTTTACCTGAACGAATACAAGGCGTGACGGTGGCGGATGCGATTAGTAAAGGCCGCCATTAGCAGTGGTTGAGGTGAGAGAACGAAATCGAAGGTTAGAGAGAGAGAGATTGTATGTCGATAAGAGAGAATACTGAGAAAATATGAGAAGAAAAATGAAAGGATCCGGAAAATTATAAGGGCATAAATTTACTTCTATTTGTATAATAATAATAAATTTTAGTTATTAATTGTTATAAAATAGGCTAACGCGCTATTACTATTACTAACGCACAACAGTTGTGACGGATAGATTTTATTTCTAACGGTTATATTCGGTTACAAATTACTAACGAATATAACTGTTAGAAATTAAAAACTAGTGCCGTTAGAAATGTCCATTTTGGTGTAGTGCACTCCACCGCCTCATTTCTCATTGACGCCGCCGAGGAGTCGTTGCTGATGCCGGAGGTGGGGCTGAGGAATTAAGATTCCGGCAGAGGGGTTTAAGATCGACCCCACAAGTAACCAGCTCTTGATCTCGCCTCCAAAACATTCCATTCCACTCTCTGCGTCACAGAATGGTCTAATTTCTCAACCCCCAAATGTCTCGCCGATCATCGATTTGAAATGGGGGAAATACGCCACCGGGATTCGCTCAAGAAGAAGCGTCTTTGGTTGGGCACGAGAATAAGCTAATTAGAGCCAAATGGGGATCCGATTGGATTCAATGCATGGTTCGCCGGAACGACGTCAGGATGGAATGGTGCCCTCCGTTCCGGAATCCGTAACCATAACATTTTTTTCACCGTGACTCACCGGAACGCCAAGAAAACGACGGGATAGGCGAGACGGAGCCTCCGCGACGCGGTAGGAACGACGTTGGAACAGTAAAAGAATTGAAAAAAAAAACCAATTTGACAAAAAAAACATAAAAGAAAAAAAGGAAATAATAAGATGGTGGTGGCCACGTTGGAGGATGGAGATTCCCCCTGAATCACGGATGTTTGGCATCACTCTTCAATTATAACTTACACAATTTCAGCTCGGTATTCTACATGGTATTAATATTGCTTGTATTTTCATAATGTTCTTTGTAAAATTTATTTTTGAAATATATTGTATTTTTTTAGCAATTTAATCAAAATGTATCCATTCCGGCAGCGACGTTGCAACGAAACTAGAACGGCAATGTCCACGACAATGCATTGTTCCGTTCCGGCGAACCATGACCCTGTTTTCTTCATCTTCTTACAAACCCTCCAAAAAATCTCAAATAAAAATAAAAATCAAAGCCTCACAAAACTTATAAAATGTAGTCGCATGACAACAAATGGTAGTTTTGCATGGAAGCATAATCCATAAACGTATGTATTGAGCTTGTAAGTCGATTTTGATTTTTTTTTTGAAACCCCCTAACAATTTTCGATACATATAGGTCGAATTTTTGGTCAATTTTAAACACCATCTTGTCGAAAATTTTATTTAAGAAAAAAATAAAAAATACGACACATACATGTCGAATTTCATTTTTTTCTTTTTTAAATAAAATTTTCGACAAGTTGGTGTCGAAAATTGACAAAAAATTCGACATGTAGTATGTGTCGAAAACTATAGGCAAGTTAAAAAAAATAATCAAAATCGACTTTAAGCTCAAACAAGACATGGATACATGCCTTAATAATGGGTTCTCCTTGGTCGTAAACTACCATTTTGTTGTCATTTGACTCCATTTTGCAAGTTGTGTTAGGTTTTGATTTCGTTAGTTTTAAATTTTTTAGGAGGGTTTGTTGTGAGGAAGAAGAAGGAGGAGGTTGAGGGGTTTGTGAATAAGGAGAGGGGTTTAAGAGATTTTGTGTGTTTATCGTTACCTATTTATTATCTAATTTTTATTTTGGTGGCATTGAAGTAAGAAAATTTTAGTAATATTTTTAGCTGTCCTACTTTTTTAATTAAGGCGTTGCCCTCTAACCCCTAAAAAATTAAGTTATTCCTCTACCAATATCCTACACTCGCCACTCTGATACGAAACGTAAGAAAACTCAAAAGAAATATTAGTTTGCATAATAAAACCCTAGCTCAAGGTGGCTATTTAAAGATAGTAAAAGCCTATAATCCTAATGTAACCGAAAAACCTACAAACCGAACCGAAAACAGAAAAAACCGAACCGATATGTATATGCACCGTCCCGACTTAAAACCGCATATACGATAATTTTTTTTGAAAACCCAAAAAAGTCGATTTTTTTTTTGTTTTTTTTTTGTTGGAGTTATACGGTGAGTTTGGATAAAAAGAAAAAAAAAGGCGAAACGAAAGGGG